TGCACGGCAGCACATTTTTGTGAGTCACGCATATTTGCTAAGGTTTAAAGATTATGGCGGCACCATGGGAGCCTTTGTCACCAGAAATGTGGAAAGTGAAAAAAAAAACACAATTGCATGCATCTTATTAGCCAAACTCGCCATTTCTTTCCCCACTGAAGCTGAGGTCGGCATCAAAATTCTAGCTTTCGAGGCTGTTTCGGAGCAGTTCGGTGCAATTTTCAAGATTACTATGGTTTTAGAGCAGCTTGGCGCAAAAAAAAACAAATGTGTCAAAAATGCTCAATGTGAGCAGCTGTCTCACTCCTTACCAATGCATATGTGTTGGCAGTACAGGCCCAGGTCGCAACAACCTCTTTTGCCTTACACATTAGCTTATTCCAAAGTGATCAAAGATTGATTGGCTGCATCTTTGGTACAGGAGGCTGTGTGCAAGTCATGTGTGCACAAGATATTGAGCAGTGTTTATGCTCAGATCTAGAGGTTTCAAACAGCAGGGTTTCCAGATTATGCGGTCACTAGATCCTGCAAAACGGTGGTGAGATGGATCAAACATTTCAGCAAATGCGAAGTCTGTGAGAAAAATCATGAAAGCCACTTTAGCCTGCTGCCCTAAGTTCAAGTTCTTTATTGATACAAGCTCTTATTTAGTACATGAAAATACACAACACTTGTTAGACTTGTTCACAAGATGGTGCACAATTAAGAGTGTCGCATCCAGATATGATGTGGCAGTGGTATGTACGGCTCTTAAGAAGCTGGGCCGCACTTGCGCACTTGTTAAGCTCGGGGCCAAAGGCCAAACGGAAAATAAAGGTGAATGTGGTCAGAAACACCGAAGCTCCTCCATTCCTTGTGTTAAATCAGTAGTGTACAAGATTCCTCAGTCATGCACCAACAGTTATATTGGTCAGACTGGTAGGTGCATGTTAGATTACGGGGGCACCAGAAGAAATGCGAAAAGAATGTCCGAATATCAAACTTGTTTGCTTATTGAACACAGCGTCACTGAAAGCTACTGTTTAACAAGATCAGGGGGCAACAGCTGAAATACAACTTGGAGCAATTTTAGGAGCAGCAAAATATTACTTTTGAAGCACTAAAATGTTAATTTTGAGCAGGTTACAGGGAAAAAGTTGTGTAATTTTCATCATTAGATACCAAATTTTGAGCAGTATAAAAAAGAAAGCTTACATTTAGAAACAAGATATGTATAAACCATTCGACATCACCTAAATTGTGCCGTGTAAACATGAGCACTGCTATTTCAACGAAAGTGGTATTTTGAACCACCCCACTGAGCCAACAATGATAAAGTTCATATTAGCATTTGCTGTGCCTGTAAAATCATTTGACAGACTCTGCGAATTTAAATATGGATCTGCCAAGCTTGCGACCATGAAATTTGTGAGATTCCTGAAACTGAAGAGCAAATTAAGGTGGTGAAAAAAAAACTGGTGCACAATTTAGTTTTTTTTTAGGGAAGCAGAAATGTCATACACTGCTCCAAAACATTTCCACTAGCATATTTAGACATCAGTGATTACACTGATACTCATCATTAGGCAGCGTACAAACGCACGAGTAAGAGAACATTATGTGCAGTGTCCCATGACTAGGGATAACAGCCCCTTCCAAATCTCAATACGCTTTTCCATAAAGCACCGGTCTAAAATGGCAAAGGTGGCCTATTCAGGATTCCCTGTACGAGTTAGAATTCCTAGCCAAGAAATTTTCGAATCACTACACCTCCCCTTCCCCAACTTCCCACCTTGTTTTTTTTTCCCCACCGTGGGATTAGGTATCGCTTCGGCTCTCCCTCGAAGGCGTGTTCGACCAGGTAAAGTAACAACGGCGTGCACTCGTTGACCTAGCGACAGTACCGCAGATGTCCGTCGCCAGGACCATGGCCGGAACGACGCAACTTCAAAACAAAAAAAAAAGGGGGGGGGGGGCTCAGAGCTTTCAATGAAATAGGGAGTGTCCAGTTTTTTTTTCTTTTAAGCTTTATTCACGAACTGTGCGATATTTCACGGCAGCTCTTAGAAGATGAATCAGTTTTCGAAGCTTACCAAGTTTTCGCCTGTAGATCAAAACAGCATTGAGAGGAAGTGACAGTGGCTATGGGCCCATCCTACAGACGTAATCTATAAGCAAAGAACCCTGTGAGCTGAGGCGACAGATGGCAGAGGCCTTGCCAGAAATTTTTTTTCTAAGGGGTGCCACCTTGATTAGAATGGGTCCCAGCTAGGCAAGTAGATGTGGTAGACTGTTATTTTTGCTCCCCTATATACCATAGGAAAATATTGGGAGGGCAGAGGCACGGGCCTGGTGTGCCACCCCCTGGCTACGCTACTGGTGGACGGAAACCAGTGTGGTCGAGTACACACACAGAGTAGGAGAGCCGGGGAGGAGGGTGAGAGTGGCACAGGCTACTGTTCGTTTACCTTGGCGAGAAAAGTAGCTCTAACTGGAGCGGCACATGTATGATGTAAGAAAGAAGGTTGCGTCCAACGTGCTGGCCGAACACACAGAAGCAACTTGCAACGAAATAGACTGGAATAAGGTGAAATTACGAAAATAAAGGAAAAAGAATTGGACTTTCGGGCTATATCTAGACTGTCTGACAATTTGGACAACAACGGGGCACATTCTTGAGTGTAATGACATTGACAGCAACTTCCCCCAGATATACACACCTACAATCGATTTTGAAATATATATAATTGGACTGTTCGCACATTCAATATTAGTTGTGACAAGGCTCCCGGGCGGAAACTTAAATGTTCCGCTTTTATGCGAGCATTCATGGTCGGTGCTCATGTTAACCCCATAGTTGAATAACAACCACAACACAAAAAGAGAGAGGAGACAGTGGCACTGCAAGCCGCCGTGAGAGTACCCTCACGTATGTAGCGCACTGTGGCATGCCGCCGGTAACTTTTGCTGTCTTTCCGGATTGTGTAGTCTGCAGAAGTCCGCACACATGAAGCCAGAGCAAAACAACGCTGTTCGAAAATGAAGACACTGCAAAGTCACGGTAGAATCACACATGCAACCACCAGCTTTCCTTTGCCAGTGCGAGGCGAGATCACGTGATCCAACCCTGCACGTCACAGCGATTGCAGCACTCGCGCCTCCGGTGGTGGGCCTCACGCCCAATATGTTAGGGAAACTGCATGACCGACCCTTGGTACACTGAACGGTGCAGCAAGCAATAGAGGAAGACAAGTAGTCGGTGCAGGGTGAATCAGTGGTCGAAAAGACAGTGACAAGACTTTTCGAAAACAGTCAACCATAGATTCTTGGCTTTCTAACGCATTTGTAAGTAGTGTAAATAAACATCTTGTATATAATAGAAACCAAATGTCAATGAATTGCTGAATCAAACCCTTTTATAACATACTCTTTCCTGTCATGCAAGTTTTGGTTCATGTCAAACATTAGTTGGCAAAAAATTAGAGCTCACTCAAACTCACTTATACATACTTCGCGCCTGGGGCTCATTCTAACCTACCAAAATTTTCTTAAACTAGACTCTCTCGCTAAAATATTACTCACCCTTGTTCACGCAAGCACATGGCTTATTTGAGTATGAGCGAGTCTCAACTAAATCAACTCATAAGTGAGTTGCTGACCTAAGGTGTCAAGTTAAGGAGACGATCACAGAGCGCCCAAACTTAATAGGCTAGATTAAATCGATCGATCAGATAGATACTACACAGACCGACTGACAGACAGATATGGTTAAGGTGCTTTTAGTTCGCTAAAAAAATGCTCTACTTTAAAGAGCAAGTGACTACCAGAAGCTCAGCCCTTAAGGAAAGCGTTCACTTTGAGACTTCAGCTTTTCTGGTTTCTATGGATAGAAAGCACTTACGAGACAATTTGAAACTTGCCACTCTGTACTAGCACTGGTGTCCAAGCGATAGCCAACACACTGCCCTAAACAAGCCTTGGAATGCAAACCACAGGTCAACAGCATGAGAAAAAATGAATTCCTTGTTATTATGGCAGGACAACAACACTTAGTAGGCTAAAAAAAGAAATAACTAGAAAACTGATGTGTTTTTGGAACACCCGACGGCGTTGTACAAACCTTGTGTAGAATCTGCTGCCATCTAGCAGACACCGAGGGCATCTTTGCAATGTTGAAGGCTCGGCGCGCTCCACTTGTGCAGGCAAGGAATGTCCATATTAACGTGTAATGGCAGATAGGGGCGCCAATGCCAACAAATTTTCGTGTGCCATGTTGCTCAGACTGAGGAAACTGGGATGCTAAAAAAATATTTGCAGGAGATTAACCTCTATGTTATTTGACTTCCTCGTGGCTGACGCGAAGGGCCAGATCTGTTACTCATTTTGCTGCTTACAATTAAATGCCTGTTTATGTTCTCGTTCCATCCAGAAGTGGGACAGCATAGGCACTCATCACAGCACGCTCTTTCATGCCATGCCAGAATGAAACGGTTTTGGCACCCTGTGAATGCAGGCACAGACAAACCGGCCTTGTGCACGAGCTTCAAAGTTGCACCACGGCTACTCATGCTTGCCTCTGCTGCTGTTTACAGCATTACTTTGTCAACTACATTGCGATAACAAAAACATATTAGCCACGTAGCTTCTGCACGTCATCGATTCTCATCTAATGAAATGGTTGTGCTCGAACATGTTGCTTATAGTTACTTATTTATTGTGGAGTTTAATAAGGTAACATTTGGTGGTGTGGTTTGCACACGTATTGCTTCACTATGTGTGCTTTTTCAAGCATTCCATGTGCTCTTTCAGAGGGAGCGGCCAATTTCATAGGGGCAAACCAAATGCTGTGACCCTACGCCTGTTGTGGCACGTAGGTGTAAATGAGGCAGGCCCACCTGGTAGATATACCCGTATGAGTGGTAGAATCCCTGAGTGAATAAACGAATCAATAAGTCAATCCATTGACTGCTTATGTAGGTGCGTGTAAAATGTTTTTTTTTCTCCAATTCATGCAGCCGGTAGAAGCAAGTACGACAAAGATGCATCATCGACGTATAAGAAAAATGGGCGGCGCTTCAAGATGACTTACGAATCTGGAATGGTGCGGGGAACGTTGAGCAGAGACGACCTGGGCGTGGGAGGAGTCTCCATCAGGGGACAACTGTTCGGTGAAATTACGCACACTACTGGAGACGTCTTTAAAGTGGTCACCTTCGACGGAATTTTCGGCCTCGGCTACCCGGACATCTCCGAAAAGGACGTCGTTCCGCCGTTCGACAACATGCTCAAGCAGGAGCTCGTCACAGAGCCCCTATTCTCTATGTTCCTCAGCAGCACGCCCAGCCAACAGGACGGAGGTGAAATCCTTTTTGGTGGCGTGAACAGTGAGCGATACACTGGAGACATCACCTACACGGGCGTTACTAAGAAGGGCTACTGGCAGTTCAGCATGGACGGGTATGTGGTGGCAATTCAGACACAACATTTCAATCATCGGAGTTCATTGTTTTCTTCGCGATTCTCCAACGGGTGCCGAAAGGGAAATTCTAATTCAAGATATATAGGCTTCTAGAACTTTTTGCACCTACACGGCGGTTCAGTGGCTACTTTATTCTACTCTCTATATCCGTCTTTAGCGTAATCGTGCGAGATTATTCGTGCAGCCATTCGCTATTGAGCAATAACCGGCGTCCCGTTGTTGAAAACGGGGTACGTGCTTCCCCATTGCACAGATCGTCCCGAACGAACTGCATGCAGTGCATAGCTTAGCGCTCACACCCTGCAGAGACGATTGTTTTTACCGTACAGACGCACGAATAGCTGGTGCACGAAGTGTACATGCAGTGAGTATTAATTGGGCTGTTAGGTCATGGCCGTATCAGGCCTGATGGTGTGCGGGTGTGGTAAGTATTTGGTTTGGCCTTTGTGGTGACGCTTCTTTAGTTACTACAAACAATGGGCGGCGCCTTTGGGTAGTCGTCACGCATGCTGCTGACCAACGATGTTTTTTTTTTTGTGATAGAATTTTTTGCAGGGAGAGGTAATCGTACGTTTGTTGGTGAGTGCTGTAACAGCTCTGTGCATCGTATAGTTATCGGTTGACTGGTCTGCAATCGAAAATGCGGGATATATACCATGTGTTATAGGAATGTGAAGCCATCGGCTCCACCTTCAGCAAGGACAGGTGGCTAGCGCTCTTTCGCAGTTCTGAACTCAACGTTCAAGCCCTGGCCGTCTAGCCCGTGGCCGTACAGAGCAACGTTGGTCGAGAGTTCAAACCCTGGCCGTCTAGAGAATTTGCTCGAACGGGCTGAATTGGCGACCGGTTCGAGTTCTGTAGACCCGAATAAAGTTCTTATCATCATCATTATCACCGTATTTTGCTCTACAGCGTGTCGTATACGCCACACAGTGAGTTCAGCGCAGTAACATCAGGCAAGAAAGGGTGACCGCACGGCGGTGCATTCTATTCTGCTTGCTCGACGGTGCTCTCTTGTTGCCCAGAAGCAGTATTTCCATGCAAAGGACACTTGCGAACGATCAATGTCCTCTTGGCCGCTGCTTGCCTATCTTCCATTTCTGATAGAGGGACCTGGCGTGTGAATGCAATGCGCGAAAATTTTGTTAAATTGAAATGACGGCACAGATTGATTTTGCAAATACCCCACCCCCCAAAAAAACAGGAAAAAGATTGATGGCTTTCAGTGAAGCTAGGATTATAAAATGAAGATAAGTGGTTACATGAGGTATTTTCTAAACCAAATTTTGTTATATCGAGGTTTACTGCAAAATGTTGCGTAGAAAATGTCGCACATATAAATTTAAATCACTATAGTACTTTCTGCAGGCACGCTGAGTAAATAAGGGTGACCGTCCGCCACGGTGGATCAGTGGCTAAGATGCTCGGCTGCAGACTCGAAGATTGCGGGTTCAATCCCGGCAGCAGCGGTCGCATTTCAGTAAAGGACAAATAGTAGAGACTCGTGTAGTGTGCGATGTCAAAACACGTTAAACACCATATGGTCGAAATTTCCGGAGCCCTCCACAACGGCGCCTCTCAATTATATCGTGGTTTCGGGACGTGAAACAGCGCAATAATTAAATAAATAAGTAAGGGTGACAAACTTTCGGTTCATCACTGACACATTCATGTATACGCCAGTCTGCAGGTAGGAAGCAAGTCGATAGTGACCAGCCCCACCGAAGCTCTGGTTGACAGTGGCACTACGGTTATGGCAGGACCGAAAGAAGAAATTGAACGCATCAACAAGTATCTCAGAGCTACTCCGGGTCCTCGAGGAACTGTGAGTGCGCTTGCCTTTTTGTACACTGTGCTTGTATTAAGGAATGTACGAAGGGGGTAACAGAAGAGGGGCACCAAGATATAGTGTGCTGGAGGTGCCCTTCTTTTCATTCTTTTAGCAGTGTAAGCAAATTTACATGTTCCCCAACACAATCCTGCATAAAACCGGTTTATATGTGTCATAGTCACTAAAGAAGGTTTTCCAGTCACTCTTAGGCAGGTAGCAAAATGAGACACTTATAGTACATACATGTTTTACTATTCCTTAACATGATTAAATGTCGCGTTTTTTCTAAGTGCGTAGCACTTCAGGAGCCTGGCTCGTCCTTCTCCTACCATTTCATGCCGCATGGTCAGGCCGCGGTCAATACCGGCCTAAAACAAGACTAACAGTGATCAGAACAAGTGCAATATAAACTAACGAGGCATAAAATATTAAATACTGAAATAACCAAGAAATAGGCACATTGTGAAAAATACTTCTGAAACATTCGGCTGATACCTGCGCCGCCCAAGAGAGGGCGCCACTGCCTCGGCAAGCAAGCGATTTCTAAGAGAGTAGCTGAGTTTCCCATGTTACGTACTTACCCAGGTATCACGGGAGTGTTGCATGAATTAGGCGCAGGATTTAGAACTGGACGCCAAACCTACACAAGAACGACATTAGAGCCGGTTTCAGTGAGGATTTTGTTTTGCTATTTTTTACTTGGAACATGTGCCATACAGAATGGTGTAAAAGGTATAATAATTCTTCCTATGCCTCACTTCAGGCGAATTTCAACTTCGTTAAAGATTTACCTTTTAGTAGGTTATATATAAAAGCGCTCCGGACTGAAGGCTGCCATCATTTGGGAAAATATTGGGGCTATATTGAAGAACAGAACTGAAAAAACGTGCATACTACACCTCAAAGAAGTTTTTGTGATATTTGAATATTGCAGATAATCACTAGAACAGTTTAGGGTGCGAAAAAACATGTGTTGTAATGTTGTGTTGTAGAGTGTTAAAGTGAGTGCAAATAATCTGCAATGTGTGTGGCTGCTATATTGCTTTTTTTTTTTTTGCTGTCAAGAGACGACAAGCCTTTCTTAACATATCTTAACTGAGCGTGAGAGTACGAACCTTTTTTCTTGTTTACATTTAATTTTTTATGGGTAAGTTTGAGTCGGTGAATATTTGCACTGTTCTGTGCCTGTCCTCTTCATCTGTGCATTTGAACGAAACTGAGCTTTATTGGTTGTGCTCACTTATCTTTAATGTTCCACGGTTATATAGAAAAACATGGGAAAGAGTTTCGCTTCACATTTAGACCTATTTTATGTACCGACATACTGAGGACATCCTAGCACGCGGGATCCGACCAGCCCAATAGAGTTACTTTATATGCTACCTTTAGAAGCACATACAGTAACTCTACAGCCCGAACTTCGCCACCGCCCTCTATGACCAAGTGACAACTTACACTGAAGCTGCAAAGCTGCTTCTGAGGACAGCGCGTCGAGGAGGAGCCTCTCGCGTCCTTGGAAGGCTGCGTATCTGCTTGCCGAAAACAGGTCCCTGTTCGTCCACAGACAGCATCTGTTGCTCGCGACGTCACCTAATCGAACAGGTGACATCACGACAGCCATTGGGGTTAGCGGAAAGGCACCGAGAAGAGTATGCGAGGTTTAGGGGCTATTGAAAAAGTGTCACTATTCAGAGCATTATATTGTGAAAGTTCGCGTGGGCAACATATCCTAGTTAATACTGGAAGCATTAGCTCGAACTGTCATCAGCATAATAATGTGAAAGATAAATCAGCAGTGATCTTTTTTTTTTCAGTACCGTGTAAAGTGCAAGAATATTCCTAATATGCCCAATGCTGTCTTCACCATTGCTGGCCGGCAGTTTGAATTCGAAGCCAAGGACTATATTCGACAGGTAAGTTACCTGTTGTTCTGTAAGGGTAATTAGGAAACAAAACATGAGGAATGTCGAAACTGACCCCGATCAGCAATACCCAGAAAAAATGTCCCCTAACGATGTCATTTATAAGACTGTCTTTCCTATATCTGATGTGAGGGTCATATTAGAAGGGGATTGCACACAGACTTTGAGAAAGATACCGATACTAATGGCCAGAATGACAAATCCTGAACTAGAGTTTTTGTTTTAAGGCGATGTTTCAAAAGAAAGAGAACACATTGGGTGCAACAGGGAAAAAAATGATTAATGACGTCACAAAAGCTTACTCCTTGTGAAGCCAAGGAACGCATGCAGCCCCCTGGCCACGTGCTTCAGACCCCTAGCCTATATACTATATGTATACGACACTTTTTAGACGTGCAATGGTGTTCTGTCACAGTCATGCAACAGGTAGGTGCATCGTACATCTCGCTCACATTGAGGACTTGACTTTTATTGCGAAAACAAATTATCAGGATACGTTTTAAGTTAAAACTTTTCTTCCTAGGTCCAGTCTCCTGACAAGGTACGCTGTTACAGTGGCTTTGAAGAGTACGCCGGAGGAACCGTCTGGATTCTGGGACAAGTCTTCATGCGTCGTATTTACACGATTTTTGACCGGGGCAACGACCGCATTGGGTTCGCACAGGTTGCCTGAGAACAGTCTGCACTGATTGGAGCAACGACAAAAAGTAATAAAGAGTTAAAGAACAATAAAGTAATAATAAAATAATAAAGAGAGAGCTCTAGATGATAATGCATAGGTTGTACAGCTATAGTTTACTGTGCATCAATTGCTAACAAAAACACTGTACAGCTGTAACATAAACTGCATGGACACTCCCCAAGTTTTCTCTGCAAGGAACCTGAACAAAAGACAGCAGTTAGCTGCATTTTTCATGTAGTTTACCCGTGTAGTCCACGACAGGTGTATTTCGTTTATGACTTCCAAAAACTTGTGACTTCTGCTGAATGACACAAATAGCCCATTAAGTGATACTCCGTAAGCGAATGTTGGCTTTCTGGTGAATACCACGACTGTGCACTCTTTTCACATACGAAAACTACCTACTCAGCACTCTTAGGCACTAAAACGTATACGTGTTCTGCATTAGCCCTTATTAAGAAACCCTATACAGATACAACAAAGTACTTGAATTTGTACCTATTAATTGAAAAGTTAAGAAAACTTTGTACAATGCACACATTTCTCTTCGCCTTTGCGGCAGTGACAACACAAGGAGTAAGGCAACGCATGATGTTCATCGGGGGAGATAATAGTGATGAGATGCGTTTGTACACATAAGCATGACACATGTATATACATACACGCATATTGATTCCATATCTCTTGCATTATTGTGTCACAGCTCTTCCTGGAGCACTGGCTCAGCATACAGTCTAAAAAATAGAATATACGTGGAGTACTTCTCCTGTGCAACAATAATCGTCATCTCACTTGCTTGCGTTTTCTTTCTTGAAAACCTGGCACTGGCCACTTATTGTTGCGAATGCTATGTCACACTGGTAATCCACGCGCCGTTCGCGACCGTGAACTACTGGAACCATGGTGATAACGCGAGGAAAGTACTCACAGTAGATGACAACTATTATTGTGTGGCAGAAACACTCCCCAAATATTCGATTTTCTTAGTGTGTAAAGACAGGCCCTCGATCAGTGTCACATACCTGCTCAGACAAAAATCATAATTGTGCAAATATGGCTCTATGTATGCCCAAGAGGTTATAGGAAATCCTGAGTTGTCAGTCAACTTTATGCATTTACAAATACGTATGCTCGAGCACTATACTTGGAGGTTTATTTTCCTCTACTTTTCTCGCTTTACATTTACATTGCGATTACTTGTATTAATACCTTCTATATTTTCCTTGGAAATGTTGTCTGTTAGTTCTAATTATTATTGTGCTTAACAAAAAAGAAGCCCTTAATACACATTCATTGCCTTCTTCATATATAAGAGAATATCATAGTGGATAGCTTCTCTTGTCCCATATATTACATCAGTACAGTAGAGCGTGATTTGAAGGTTACCGACAATTACAACAGCGCCACGGCTCAAAATCCCTTTTAGAAAAAAGGGAGGTACAAAGCAAGCTTCCCTCACTTTTTTTGCTGCTCTTAAAAGGGGTGGGGCCAACAAATTTGAGGCTTGCACATTATTTGCTGCAGGCATTTTTATAGCTCCAGTAAGCATGATACACTCACTAAGATTAATTCATTCTCACTAAATAAAATAACATCGTCTTGTTTATGTGGATAACTTTCGGTTTTGGTTCCTAGGCACTGATTTGGGCAGTGACGTAGATGTAGGTGGCTTGGTCACGTGACCACACAAGTCTGTGATGCACATCGTGCTGAGTGTCGTATGCTCTTGCAGACCCGTACCACACAAGCACCAGCAAAATAAATGCACCCACAGTTGTCATGCCTAGGTGCAGCAGCCGCGAGCTATGTAGCAACCAATATGCTTTGCTCGTACGTACGTTGTGGAGGCAGCGAAGGTCACTCACCGCACTACAGATCTGGTGTGACATCACTACAACTTTCGTTGCCTTTCTTACAGAATTATATCAGTGCTGGACGCGCTGCTTATGTGGTTATAAAAGGGAAAAGAAGACAAAAGTGAGCCCCGTAATTGTATGCATCTGGTGCGACACCTCAACAGTAACTCGCAAGAAATGGGGTAAGGAGGGATTAAAAGGATAGGATTAAAGGTATATATATACAGAGAGATGTGCAGGTACAGCCTGCAACGACAGAAGTAAAGACAAGATAGAAAAGATGAAACACGGTCCCAGGAGTCCGAGGATGGAGCACCACTAGCGAGAGCTCTTGTCGGCAACAGGAGATGGCGTCAGGCTAATCCAGTCGGCCAGAGCTACGCTGTCGTCGTCGTAGGGGACCGGCGTCACGAGGTAGCGTAGGACCAACCCAGTCGGCCAGAGCTGCACAGTTGTCGGAGATCGCTAGGGCACAACCGGTCTGCACAAAATCCGTCGAGCGAGTCCTGGACGCGCTAAGGATGGGCTTCAATCGGGAGAATAAGTGTTTAGGTACAATATGGAAGTGATTTAAAATATACTCTAAACGTTTGCAGTGTCGCCTCTTCACGTGGACTGCCCCTGCATAGAGAGGCAACCCACAACAGGCTTGTTATGGCCTCGAAAAAGGCACTTTCGCATTCTTTTTTTTTTGTTACAGCGCATGCTGTATATGACTAGGCGAATAGAAAAACGTTCGCTGCAAGGAACGATAGTAGTCTGCATTGACCGCACCGTCAGTTACGTCGCTCTCTACTTCGCACCCAAGCGCGCACGTTATTGGGAGAACCTTCGGTGACGTTTCAACTTACCACTTCCACATGGGGAGGACAGAGATAGCAAGAACGCCCAAACTGCCGAGAGAGAGAATAAACTTTATTGGGTTCCAGCATGCGGGATTCCCTCCGGCCGCGCAGGGCGTGGGGTTCACCCTATCTCACGTTACACTAGAAGTCCTAATGTCACGCGGGCCTAGACCTCAAGGCCTTCGTGCCCCGTCGCCGCTCGGGTTACTGAGGGTGTCCCCCTTTCGCCTTTGCAGCGCCAGTGCGACCTCGAGCTGCCGGACGGCCCTTCGCTGGTCTTCTGGGTCCGTAGACCCCACACGCTGTTCTACTTGCGGCGGTAACACCGGACCGTCCGCGCTGTCTGCGTCACATCCCCAGAGTATGTGAGCCAGGGTGGCTCTCGCGCTCGCGCACACACTGCACATTTCACTCACGTAGAGTTCGGGGCACACGTGTCGCGCTAGCGATGGGGTCAGCACAGTCTCGGTTTGGAGCTGGCGCAACCTCACCGCCTCCCACCGGGTAAGATCCCTGTGCGGAGGCGGGAAGCCACGCCGTTGCTCCCTGTACCACGCGAGGATGTCGCCGTAATCGAGCAGCTGCTCCTCGCCTTCTTCTTTGGTCGCCGTCGTGTCTTCGGAGGCGGGCGCGGCCGCGGTCCGGCACGTGGCGAGACCACGGGCCGCGGCATCCGCCTCCTCGTTGCGGTTCGGAGATCCTGGTATCAGGTCCCTACCCATGTGAGCCGGGAACCATTTTAGCGTCAGCCTCGACTTGGACTCGTCGCTTGCCAACGCCCTAGCAGCCGCCCCGCACACGGCTCCGCGCGAGAAGCTACGGATGGCCGTCTTGCTGTCACTGAGTATTGTCCGCACGCCCGGGGAGCGCGCCGCCAAGGCTATCGCCATCTCCTCGGCCTGGCTCGCGCTCCGCGTACGCACGCTGCATGACGTGACGATCTTGCCCGTCGTTGCGGCGACCGCCGCCGCCACGTAGGCGTCCTTGTTCTTGACTTTGGCCACGTCCACGTAGACGGCGCCCTCGTCGTTCTGATGTTGCAGCAGCAGCGCCCTGGCTCGCGCCGCTCGTCGTCCCTCGCTTTCGCCGGGACCCATGTTCTTTGGCAGCGGATACACCACCAGTCTTAACTGCCGACAACTTTACAAGAACAGCTCCAACTGCTTACCCGTGAGAAGATTCATGTTCGCCAGGTCAATGCAGCAGTCTGGGCATTAGAACAGTCCTGGGTAACGAAGCGCAAGCAGCAACTGTACACCGAGGATCCGGCCATCCGGCTGCCCTCCGAAATGTAACCAGCGAAAACCATGAGCCAAGAAAGCAGCGTTGCAGACAGAGATCCCTAGAAAGTGTTTTCTGAATTTTTAAATTATATTACATATCCAAAAATTCACTTGTAAAAAGAAATGTAAAATATTCTTAGCGTTTTTTCATAACCCAAGTATGTCTCAAAAGCTAATAGCAGCTTTTTGCAAGTGCAATAACCTCTACGAAAAAAAAAAAGCCAGCCGTTTATTACTAAAATAATTGCCCACTAAAAAAATTACGTAACATAAACCAAAAACTAAAAGCTGCCAAACGGTTTATTTTTCGAACAAAAAATATTGCAAGCAGGTAATAATGCTAAACTAAAATAGGACATTTTAAACTGCTTTCTAAATAGGAATTCTCAACCCCAAGTATTCAGAACTGTAATTGATAACATTAAATATAACTCACCTACCGACATAGCAGATGCTTTCAGTTCCAACATTTTTAGCATTGACGCACCCTCTGCCACACAAATCACACCACTTAGACATCTCACTCACTCTTTTTTTCCTATTTCTCAACACTTCTGAATAACTACATTGTGTCATGCAAATGCACCACTGCAGGAATTTATGAAGTCCTACCTGCTCATATCAAATTAACTTCACATTTACTTTTCGATGTTTTGTGTTTGATTACAAATTTGATATTCAAGACTGGTGTATCTTCTAATGAGCTTAAATGTGGTAAAGTAATCCCAGTTCTTTAAAAAGGTGGTAGCACAATGATTTATAATTACCAAACCGTTTGCATTCCACTCATTGTTTGGTAAAGTTCTCGAGAAGTTAATTGGAGTATGCCTATCAAATTACTTTGCTAAATGTAATATTCGGCCATCTTATCAGTACGGCATTCGTAATCATTTCTGTACATATCTATCACTCATTCGTCTGACCGATGAACTAAAAATAAATCATTTACGAAGGCTTATTTGCAGAATCAGTATTCATTGATCTAACAAAAGCATTTGACAGCTTAAGTAATTGTATTCTCTTTAATAAACTTGAAGCAATTGGTGTATGTGGTCCTACTTAAGCACAATTAAAAAGCTACCTACATAATTGCGTTCAACTTGTGTCAAT